CAGATTATCCTGATCTTCTCAGGATTGTGTTCAGCACTTATTTAAGAAGCTGCTGGTCATTCCTTCTAGTTTGACTGACACACCACCATCCCTTAGATTTCACCAAAAAAAGGGCTACTGTAAGAGCCTCGTGCTCTCTGTGAGGATGAGTAATATGCTTTAAGAGGCATGAGGGGTCTGAATAAAGCCCGGGGCAGAGGGGCTACTGCCAGCGGGGAGGAGAGCAGGAGGTGAGGATCCAGTGTGGGCTCCATTAGTGAGCAAGAGCTGTGGCTCTTTGTTGAAGCGCTGGGCAAGAGGACGGGACTCTCTGCGGGAGTCTCACTGCACTGCAGTCAAGCCAATGGATGAGTCACACAATACAGCACAATAAACAACCCACTTCGCAGGAATTATGGGCCTATACGTGCTGAACAATAACAGCTTAATATTTGACAACGTATTGATCTTTGGCACTGAAAGCCTACATTTTTGAGCAGCTCCATTTTATAAATCAAAAGTGCCAGTTCCTGTATGATTTTGTCAGATGTTCTGTCGGATTAGCAGGTCCACATGGATTATGTGCCTGAAGAACTCAAGAGAAAACTCTCTTCAAAAGTGGAATGGTTGTCCTTCACAAGTTTTACAGTCACCTTTGCATGTTCATTTATTAAAAAATATTGACTAATTTGATAAAGCTTTTAGCTACCAGTAAGACTGTAACACTCACTGCGTAAGGGTGTGATCACATTTAGCTTTCTAAGAAAAAATTCTGCCGGCGAAGTGCATTCACCTCATTAGGAATCTGTGATTGGGAATATTGGTTTAACTTTGAACACACAACTTGACCAACATAAAACTGCTTAGTTTGGAAATGACCTCTGAGAAAGTGGAGCTTCATGCAGCGCTACACTGACAATTAACCATCTTTGCCCATGATATTTTGCTGAAGTTTAGCTAATGTGATCACACCTTAACACACTGGATCATGTTTAAATCAATCCAGATTTCCCCCCAAATCAGTACAGAAATTATATTTGGAATATTTCACCTGGTCTTGCTGCTGTTTGGTACAAGAATTAAACAAATGTGGACACAAGTGTTTGTTTTCCATGTATGAACAGGGAAAGCAAGGGATTGTAATTACAAGTTTATAAAAATAACTCAACAGATCTAAATGTAAAAACATCCATGAGAGAGACCGTCAAGCTCACAGTGAGGATTGTACCAGAACAAAGAAATGTCTATTTTCTAATTAAATTAGAATATTCTCCACTATCACATTTCCATCTGCTTACAGTTCCTTCTTCATTTCCCTTTGTGATGCTAACCAGTTAAGTACTTACATCCCAGCTAGCACTGGGCTACAAACTGAATATTCACAATTTGCCCTAATATAAAATTGTGTATATTGCAATGATTTTAAGGTCCATGACCAGTGTTGGGGAAAGTTACTTTTAAAAGTAATGCATTACAATATTGCGTTACTCCCTAAAAAAAGTAATTTTGGATACTTTACTAGTTACTTGAAAAAAAGTAATCAGATTACGTAACTCACGTTACTTGTAATGCGTTACCCCCAACACCGTCCATGACTCACAAGTATGAGGGGGTTAAAACTAATAATATCTGATCTAATGTACTAGTCAACTGTTTTCTATTGTAACATATTTTAAAATGTAATTTATTCCTGTGATGCAAAGCTGAATTTTAAGCAATTGTGAAAATTGAGATTCAACATTTTCAGGATTCTTTGATAAATAGAAAGTTCAAAAGACCAGTATTTATCTAAAATAGTAAGCTTTTGTAACATTATGTCTTTACTGTGACTTTCGATCAATTTAATGCATCCTTGCTGAATAAAAGTATTAATTTCTTAATACTCAATGTCTTTCTGATTCCAAACTTTTGAACAGTAGTGTAAACATTAGTAGCAAAACTGGTCCTATACAGTTTGATTTACAGATCTGAAATGGCATCAATATCCATCTAAACTAATAATCTAGGCATTTGTATGAGGAAAGACGTTGAATAAGAAAAACCCTGGATGAAAAACAAACATTAAACTGGTTTGCTGATTGCAGTGAATTCTTTTGATGACCTCATGGGGAACGTCATTGGAAATCCCAGCCAAACCAACATATATTTTGAACTTTAGAAAGCGGCGCGATTGAAAAAGACATAGAAAGTGAAAGGGGGAGAAGAAATACAAAAGTAGAGAAAACGAAAAAGCCTTTCAAAAAAGCATGGAAATTAGGCTCTCCTGTTACTGTTCAATCATGTGAAAAGACCAGCAAACCCTGCCAGAAACAATCTGATGCCAACGTCCACGTCAGACCACAGCCAGGACGAAAATGGGACATCAGATGAATTTGGGAGGAGTCCACTTCATCAGTCAAACACAAAACAGCTCAAGTTCACCAGTCAGCCTTGGGGTACGGTGCCAGGTGATTAGGCACGGCTCTGAATGGAGGGGTAATTGCAGCGGGACGGCACCCTGACTGCGCTCTTCACACAGAAACATAATTCAAATGCCTTAACCGGATAATTAGTGGAACTTCTGGATTAACCGGAAAAGGATTTCTCAATCATGCTCACTGCTTAGGGATAGTTTCCCCCAAAATTATAATTCCATCATCATCTACTCATCCTCAAGTTGTGCCAAACCCAAAATGCATTGTTCCCACAGAACAACAAAGGAAGAGAGCGAGCAGAATGTCCGTTCTTTTTGATGGGGACCACACATCAAGGACAAACACTAGCTCTTCAGTCTCATTCATGTTACCCTATGGTCAAACTTAGCATGTTCATGGTACATAAGAAGTTTGAACCAATGAAGTTCTTCTCCTCATCCTTCTTTTATAGTGTGGACTGTGGAGTAGGGCTGGGCAACATTTTATTTTCAATTATGTCTTTGGCTTCCAACGAGTATGAAAACAAGATAATTGAGATAAAATCATTATTTGGTTCCATTCCATTTCACAATGATGCTTTTGTTTTGTCTTGTGTCCAGTCCACATTCAAAACATCCTTCACAGTGGTCTGCTTTCACCCTTCCCTGAAAGCCTAAATATATTAAATAATAATAGTATACAAAAAAAATAAAATAATAATAATAATATATATACAGTGGGTACGGAAAGTATTCAGACCCCCTTAAAAAATTAGTTATTTCTCCATTGAAATTCCATTAATTTTTCCATTAATACACCTTCAAAATGATGTATGATTTGTTGGAATCAGACGAAAAATGACAAATAATGCATTACCCTTTTCATTTTACACCTAAACAAAAGCATTCAAGAAAAACAAATAATCAAATGTAAAATTCCCTTTAGTGTGTTCATTACAAATAAATTAATTATTAAAACTACAAAAGCAGTTCAATCCTGAGCAGCGAGTGATTCCCTCTTTTCTTTTATTGTTAGATTAACATTAATGAGGCGGCCTATATATTAAGACCTACTGTATTGCACGGATCTAATATAATGTTACACATCAGATGTTTTTCCCCAACAGTTCCCCAAACGTTCACTTAAGACATAACATATTATGTTTGCGTGAATACTTAAATACTGTAATTCTGTGTATATGTGTATATTTATTTTATTGTTAGATTAACATTAATGAGGCGGCCTATATATTAAGACCTACTGTAATGCACGGATCTAATATAATGTTACACATCAGATGTTTTTCCCCATCAGTTCCCCAAACGTTCACTTAAGACATAACAGATTATGTTTGCGTGAATACTTAATTCTGTGTATATATGTGTATTTATCGGGATCACGCTGTCGGAAGCGCCTTTATGCGTGCGCTTCGGATGACAGTCGGCGTGAGAAACGAGCGGAGAAAAGGTACTCCTCTCAGAAAATGTACAAATAAAGATAATTAAACATCTAAAATTATTATTTGGAGCACTGGGATTGCTAGACGAAGGCTTAAATCAATACATTTTTGTGAAAACCTCAACGATTTTGCCATAAACAAGTAGCCTCAATGTGGAGTCAATAATTCATAATACATAAATTAGAAACATTAATTTTTTTAATCTAGGTTGTAAAAAAAGAAGAACATTCTGCTAGATAACTTTTACAATTAATTTAAAAATCATTTTGAGCTAAATGAGGATAACTAGATGATTTTCATAATTCGTCTTAAAAATATAACATTTGTGTTATTTGTCTATCTACCAAGAAGGTATCTATAACAACCTTTTATGATTAATAAATGGAAAGGTTATCAGCATGTTGTGAATAATGAATGAGCACTTTGTGCGTCATAGCAAACTGAGTGCTAAAGATGTAGCTCTCAGCAGTCTATTATATAATATGAGGCTAATGCATGACGGTTGACTGTGGTAACTGCAGTATTCCTGCAATAGAGTAGAGACCTCTCAGCACTCCTAATCCATCAACACGCATGAGAAGCAGCATGCTCCACTCAAGCACCTCTCATATGTTATACTCTCAAAGAGTCCTGTATACAAAATCAACACAAAGCCATTACAACATATATCACCTGGTGTTTATCCTAAGACTGAATCACTCTTATAATGAACAATCTATCAATCCATCACATTAGGCCTGTCCACTTAACATGTTAATGTATTGCAATTTATTATCTCAAAAATTATGCAATTAAAATATAAATGTAATGTTTTAAATGTTTTAATGTTGGTCTGTTAATTATTACGGTGGCCGTGAAGTGCAAAGCAAATCACAATTCTGAAAACAAAATAACAAATTATAGAACAAATCAAATGAAAAAATAAAAAAGTAAATAAATTAATATTAAAAAAATACATAAATGCAAATCATGTAATTTAATCAATTAACAGCTCCAAACACATTACAAAATGAGGGTCAAAAAGGAGCAGCAGCAAGTACCTCATGTAACAGGAGTGATCAGCTCAAGGTTAGTGAACAAAATACTTGAACATGTTTTACTCTAAACCTGGAGGACTAAACCTGTTGTAAACCGAGTAGATGTATAGAAAGTAAAGGTGTTTGCTGCTTTTCAAGGATGATCGCACGCTAACGTTGAGCATGAAAGGAGCCTCTCTCCAAACAAAAGACGTGAAATCTGAAGTGTAGTGTGTCATTTACCGTGGGGTCTGTCCACAGCGAGCACTTCTTGCAGTGTCGGCAGGGGGCACCAGGCGAGCGAGCGTGCTGGCAGAAGTGGTTGTAGCCGTTAATAGGCTCCCGGCAGAGGTAGCACATGAAGGCGCCGCAGCGACACGACATCCGGTTACAGCCCTCCGACTTCACTAGACCTGTGGCACACTTGTGGCACTTCCTGACACGGGCAGCAGTCATCTTTTCCTCACTGGCCATGAAACAAAAGACATTTGGGTTCAGTTTACATGCAAACACTACTGGAAAAAACTGTGAGCTGCCTACCTAGACTGCATTTTAAGTAGTGGTCAACAGATACAGGTTGTTTGATGGCTGATGCTGATATCTTGGAAAGCAGGGTGGTCGATCGTTGATATAATGTTTTCACACTATTTAAATATAGATTTGATTTAAAAGCAAATAATGCAAGCATAAAAATGGCTGCACTTAAATATTTTTCTTTGACATAATATTTACTAAAATCAACAGAAATAAATCATTGTAATATGAAATGGAAAAAAAAGAGAAAAAATCTGTCAAATAAACAGTTTTATACAGATAGCAACTTCTTGTTTCTGTAATCCTAATCTGGCATTTTCAAAAATAAAGAAATTATTAAAAACATGAATATGGGCCGTCATGCACATGCGGTTTTATACAGGATACAACACAAACTTAAGAAGACCTAACAGCTGTATTTGTAGAAGTTTGTGGAATTGTGTGTGTGTTTAATGACATAAATGACAAATATTTTCTGAATATAGACAATACATTAAAAGCAGCATTGTAGGCCTTTCTAATAATAGATATTTGACTTTATTAATAGACATAACTGTTAAAGACCTAACTAATGAAGACGGAGAATGACCGCTACTGAGCATCAGCATTTGGTCACGGAGTTCTTTGTGCTGTCAAAATAAAAGTCTTGCTAATGCCCAAACAGAAAAACTTGCAATTAAAAGAATTCTTCAAGCTCAGCTGAAAAAGCAGAAACAAAATGTAATCAATGAAAATTAAATTAACATTTTAATTAAAAAACAAACTGTTCATTGTTATTGTTAGCTCAGTTCCATTAAATAATATTAACAGAACTTTTGATTTAAATAATGTATTAGTAAATGCTGAAACAAACATTAACCAAGATTAATAAATGATTTAGAATAATTTTTCATTGTTAGTTCATGTTCAAGCATTGCAAAGTGTTACTTAGAACTGTGATAAATAGACTTAATTCAAAATAAAACATGTTATATGTAAAATGGACTACTTTAAAAAGCATAAAATACATATAATTTAGAGTACCACATCATTAGCTTAGCAAAATGCTAACATCAAACTCTATTTGAATTTATCGTGTGCTTCATACGAGGAGCGCTATTTGTATCGCTGCCTTTTCAAATGCATTTAATGGGTTTAATTTCAGTTAGGATGCTGCCTTAGTAGGAAACTGTGGTTCACTAGCTACTGGAACAAAGCCAATATTTTCATTTTAGCATCAGTTATTTTGGGCTATTTAACATATAGAAAGCATACTGGTATTGAGACATATTATCTTGCCTTTGTGACACCATATTTAATTCAATCTCTCAGTCAGGGTCTCTTTCCTGTCTCTATAAATGTAGGCAACAGAAAAGGTTCGGGGTAAACAGGATACACAGTCTTTGATTCATGTGTATGACAGGAAGGAAGCCAGGCGATCACATCCTGTCCAGTGCAGAGACTGAGCAGCAGTGATAGGCTGCTTTCACACTGCATCAGTTTACACAGACACCCATGCTCCAGTACACTTCCTCATGAAGGCCTGCTGTGCACAGGGGCAGCTCTGGATGATGTGTATTTGCAAACATAACACTCAAGGGAATCCATCAAATACAGCGAGTGTTTTAGCGTGCCATGAGAAAGGCCTGGGGAAACAGCTGACTCAGCATCAGGGATGCTAATGATCTCCCAGGTTGCTCACTACACTATCGAGTACCCTCAATAGTGCACGGATGAATTATTAACAAGCTAAGAGTTTTCAGTGTGGCACTTACAAAGCCACGCGCAGCCGGATCTCGTCCCTCTCCAGCACCTGCTCGCAGGTCTTTCCCGCGTGCTCCTTCCACACCACATGGCACTTCCTGCAACTCTCCTGAGGAAGGGGACACAAATAAGCATCTGTGTTATTGATCACAATTGAAAAGCACAGTGGAAAGAGAAACTCCTGGACCACATTTCATTCATCCAGTGGGAAAAAAGGTCACGTTTCTGTTGTTCAGTCACCTCTGTTTGTGCATACGGAAGGAGCCGGTGTTCCCGGCGTTGTTTCAGAGATGCATATTGCTTCCTACCCTGCATAATGCACTAGTATCTTGGTATTACCCCTCTGGAATTATTCATAATGTCTATACATTATATCGGCAATCAGTACTATTGTACACAATATAACTGCACCAGAAAATATATGCAAATGCAGCATTGCTAGCGTGCCAGCTGGTAGAAGGTACTGATGGCCATATTAGAGCGATTCCAGTGTGATTCTCTCTGTGTTGTATAATGCTATATTGCATGTGCTTAGAGTGTTCCAGGTGGTTTGCAGCATTGCTATGTGGTTGCCAAGGTGTTTTTAGTGTGTTGCTATGAGCAGGGGTGTCCAAACTTCAGCCCGCGGCTCAGCTGATGAATTTCAAACGGCCCGCAGCTCGTCTATTATTATATGTGAATTCTTAAACGCACCAAAAGCGGAACAGTGCTACTCGTTTGAAGCGTGCTGCATGGACCGTTATTAAATCGGCACAAAAGACAGCGCAGCGCAAACTCAGAATAGAGGTCTGCGGGACCCGACCAGATTTTTTGCGCCGCGGGATTAAATTCCCGGAAAAAACGCGGTAGCGGTCTGTAACTCTGGTGTAATTTGAACGGGAGTGGGCGGTCTAACAACATCCCGTTCCCGACGTCCATTCAGAACAGCATATCTACGCTTTATTCTTATTGACCACCGGTACAGCCTGCACTCGGACTGTTAAAAAAATAGTCCCGCGCAGACCTCTACTCAGAACAAACGAGTTTACTCGCTGACTGGTCTCGATCACGCTACTACTAAACAGTGCTGCGAGATCCAGTGAGAAGCGTTCGCACAGGTCTCCAACACACACCACAAATGCCATTCTAGATACTAGGGGTGCTCCGATCAGGGTTTTTGAGGCCGATCACAGAAAGCAGTATCTGCCGATACCGATCACCGATCTTTTTAAAGCATTCTTTTTATCATTTATAACTATTTATATTGATACTCCAATCAGGATTTTTAGACATTT